TCTGGCTTTGCCATTCTCTATTTAGTAAGACATGTTCTCTTAGTTTCCTTTAGTTTATACAGTAGCCCCTCCCCCTTACTTACGAAAGATTCATCCCAGGATCCCCAGTGTGAGCCTGAAACCGCAGATAATGCTCTCTATGACAGGATTCATGCATTAAGCACAGCAAGAGATTGACAACCATAATTGATGAGAGAACATTTATAGCAATATACTGTAATAAAAGTTCAGTGAATGTGGTCTCTTCCCCTCTCAACTGCCTCTACAGAGCAGGTGGCATACACAGTGTGACTATGCCAATGAAGGATGACATGTTCCAAACAGGACAGGGCAAGATTTTGTCACAACACTTAGAATGGCTCACAATTTAGAACTCTTTTTGGACTGCAGGTAAAAGTGCACCATTGTTCGTGGTCTCTCTTACTTCTCTGAAGATATTTAAAATAACCAGTTTAAAATGTTTGTCTAGTGGGTCTAATATTTGGGTTTCTTCAGGAACAGTTTCTTTTGACTCTTTATTTTTAGTTTGTGGGCTGTGTGTACCTTCATCTTTGCATATCTGATTTTTCAAACATTTCAAATAACATAATGTGGCACCTCTGTTTTAGAAACTAGGTTCTAGGGTTTGTTGTATGTTAGTGCTTTTAGATTTATCCCCCCTCCTTTGTTTTAGAAACATTTAAAAAATATCTTTTAGTTGTAGATGGACACAATACCTTTATTTCATTTTTATTTTTATGTAGTGCTGAGGATCAATCCCAGTCCCTCATGCATGCTAGGCAAGTGCTCTACCACTGAGCCACAATCCTGGCCCCCTTTCCCCTCTTTTTGAGGTTCTAAAGATCAAACACATTGCATGTGCTAGGCAAGCACTTTACCACTAAGCCCTGTCCCCACTGGTGAGTCTTCCAGGAAATCACCAAAAAGGTCAGATAATGACAGTTCTCTGGCAGCCCTGCTTTGAAGAAACTCTGGCCCTGTTCTGGGCTCTAGTCTGCCATTTTTGAAGCTATCACCAGGGGGCCCCCGGTATTGTAGAATATGGGAGTAAAGCAAGTTAAAATGCCACAAAGCTCATCTTTCTTACCAAGAATCACCTCTTTTTCCTTCTTAAATGTTCCCTAGATTGCTGCTAGGGTCACGTTTATTTCCAGAGGTTTGAAAAAGCGGATTCTGATCACTGCTTTCTGCAGTTTTCATGGTTGTCACTCTTCCCTATTCAAAGGCATCAGTTGTTAGGCAAGTTGCTAATTTTGTTTCACCTTCTCATTTTATTTTGTTTAGAATATTTTCATCAGTAGCATTTTTCTGTGTGTAAAATTTCAGTTCTCCATCCTTTTTTCCATCTATATTCTTGTTTGTCTAAGAGGTGGAGCTGACATCCTCATTTTTTCATTAATCAAAGGACCAAGTATCTTATTTCTTACAAAAACAATGGTTTTTAAGTACACTTAAGGGAGTTTTAAAGGAACCTTATAAAGTACATTTACTCTTTCAATAAAGGCAGTTGAAGATGATTTTGTGGAAATGCGAAAGAATGACCCTCAGAGCATCACTGCTGATGACCTCCACCAGCTGCTGGTGGTAGCGCGGTGAGTAGTATATATGCTCATAATTGCTTTTTCTGAAAGCTGTGCATTTATTTAGCAGTAACTCAGACTTCTAAAAACAGCAGAATTTTTTTCTTTTTAAACAACGCCTTCTAAAGAAGGGATTATTGAGGGGGAATTCTGTTTGGACAGTTGCCTCATAAATGGAACAGGAATGCTGCTTATCCTCTAAGCTTCAAAGAGCCAGCTACCCTCCAATTCTTGCTCTTCCGGGAATTCCTTGTGGGGTCTAACCTAGCTCTTGACTTGTGTGTAGGTGGTCTTCGTCTGGACTGTGGGGATTTTTTTGTGTGTGTGTGCTTTTTTTTTTTTTTTTTTTTGGTACCCGAGATTGAACTCAGGGCCTCTGAGCCACATCCCTAGCCCTTTTTATTTTTTATTTAGAGACAGTGTCTCCTCTAAGTTGCTGAGGCTGGCTTTGAACTCGCAATCCTCTGCCTTAGCCTCCAAAACTGCTGGGATTACAGGTGGCAACACTTGGATGATTTTTTTTAATAGTATTCCTAGATCTTAAATTTTTTCTTAGACTTAAATGTGTTTCTGTTTCAAACCAGGTTTCTGTCTCTCAGTGCTGGGCAGACGACACTGTCAAGAGAACGATGGCTAAGAGCAAAGCAGCTCGAGTCTTTAAGAAGAAACAGGCTTCAACAGCAAAAATGTGTGAATGGAAATGAACTTTAAAGTTCTGATACCTATTTGAGTAGTAATGGGCAAAACTGTAGCCACATTATTGTAAAATTCAAATATCATTTATACCACAGTTTTATACATAATTTGTATCAAAACCCAATGACTTTTCTTGAAATCAAGCCTGATGACATCTGAAGTTTATATGATACTCAGTGAGGGCTTTTACCTTACTGATTTTATGGAACTTTTGAAGTTTTGTTTTATAATGATATAAATTAGTAATGGTGTACAAAAATGTATTTGATATTAAAAGTTTAATATTGATAAATGTTGCTGATTATACCTATTTCCTTAGCTGCAGCTAAGTCATAGGCCAGACTCTGTTCAAATGCTAATGTTAACTTCATTTGAAGAAAATTGTTGTAATTTCAAAGTTGGAGGGATTGTGCTCTTGAGATTTCTATGTCTTTCCAATTAACAGTGGATTTGAGTATGTTCAGTAGTCAAAGTTTGGTGAATGAACATACTTGCTAGATTCACGGGTGAAATCCTATAGTATCATTTCCCAGATATTTGGCCACAGAAACATTCTAACAGTTATTAACAGCTTGAAAAACTAGCCTTTTACATGGCACTGGTACCCAGATTTTGCATTCTATGGACCAGTAAAATTCTGAAAATTTGGGGACAGGGTTGTCAATTTATTTTGGCAAGTAATCTGAAAGAAATCATTGTGGATATATTTGAGGTTTTTTTTTTAAATAAAAGGACAATCTCAGAATAAGAGGTAGTCTTTTAAATGGAATAAATATAGCTTTTTGAAGAACGCTATATTGTCCTTATGTTTCTCATTACATCCCAGTACATTTGGAAACTACTATTTTATGGGATCACTTAAGGGAACACAACCTAATGAAGTTCTGCTAAAAAAAAAGAATCTAAGTAGACTTTAAAAATATTTTTTAAAATAACTCTTTAGGAAAAACTTTTTTTTTTTTATGGTACTGAGATGGAAGGTAGGGCCTCACCTCTGTTAGGCAAGCTGCACCACTGCACTGTATCCCCAGAAGAGAAAAAAGGATTTTAAAACTAATAAATGGCATTTAGTTACTTTAAAGATTGGATTTTGAGACATAGAAGTTTATCAGTTCCAAATGTGCTGGATGAAGAAATATTATCTGCTAGTCCTGTAAAGGCCCAATGCAAGGTTATGTTTTCCCCAGACCAATTGGTTTTGATGTACAAATCTTTAAAGGAATGAAATATTACTAATATGTAGAAAGCAAAATGGTATCATTGTGGCAACAAGAGTCTTTAGAAGGGTTAGAATGCTTTTTTAAGCTACCAATGGTATATATAAATCTAGTAACTTACCTCATTGAAAACAGATCAATTAAATGAGTCCTTAAAATTTTTTTCATGTAAGGAAGGCTTAAGTTGACATTGATTTTAACCAAGAAAACAGGGTCAGCCTTGAAAAGTCAAGGAATTCATTATGCCTAATGAAGGGAAGTAAAAATTAGTTGTTCTTTTCCTACATTTAAATCTATTTTTATAAACTAATGTAAATAATGTTTATATTAGAACTCTAACTGGTTTTCATTTTTATAACTGGTAGACTACACCTTCCTTCAACTTTCAGAAATAAAATGAAGGCTCAACTGAATCTGAGAATGAAAAACATTATCTTTGTCCTAGAACAAAGTAGGTTAGTTTCCATGTGTCTTGACTGTGCCAATGTACATGATAATCTACCAAAGAAATCATAATTTTGCTTGATCTTGCAGAAATGTTCCCTTGAAATAAAACTTCCCCAATTATCAGTACCTTGGACTGTTTTTCATGAATTATGTAAGATATGATCTATGTAGACAAGCCCTGTGTTCACTTGGAAACACATTACAGGGTGAATTTAAGTATAGGAGGTAGTGCAAATGCTCTCCTGCCCACCACCCACCCAGGCAGATTACACACTCTCCCTTAAGAACACACACGTTCAGATTTGTATTAATTCAGACATTATATATCCTTGTTTTAAACATTGCCTTAACTTTAGTTAAGAAAGTTAACGAACTTATTATATATGCTTATTTTCTCACCTGATCTTGGCTTGTATTTTTACTTGTGTTGTAGAACATTATTTTCAAGACCAAGTTGGTAAGAACAGAATAAAGCATTCAGTTTTGAATGTTTGGAATTTAAAAGTACTGTTTGATTCACTTTCATCATTTTCAAAATCATGAGAATACTTCAAAGAACTGAAATAACACTCAGAATAAGTATGCAGTTATAACAAATTTACCACTTGTGAATTCTTTAAATCAAACCCTTGATCAAATGTCATGCAAGGAACTCTCGCACATTATTTTAAATTACAATGGTACTTTATTTTAATAGTCACAAGATTTGACACTTCAAAAAAAAAAAAAACACCACTAATAAATAACAAACGTGGAATGCTTATTAAAGTCACAGTAGACATAATGTTCAGCCGAGAATTGCTTTGAGATATCAGAGAAACCAATACTTGCTGGAATATGCTGTGTAGCTTTCTTACTATTTGGGTTATATAGAGGCCCCGGTTCTTTGTGGACAGGGTTATGGTCGAAAAACCAGTTTCAGCACAAGCTGTGCTTCAGACTAAATTTTCAGTAGTTGCGACAGTCTGCACAAGATGTTGAAGAATGCCCCCCCGGAAAAAGGTTAAAATTTGAAAACTTCCTTCTAGAATTTCCAGTAGCCAATATATTCTTACATCCCTGAAAACAGAGCAAAATGAAATTTAATAGATAATGTCATTCATATTGACAAGACAGGTTTATATTATACTTGGCAAGTGTACATTTTGGGGAATATAGGCAGAATATATTCAAGTTGGAACATGGGAAAAATCAGGACCAAATGAGAATATGTTTCTTGACCAGTGTCAAAAATCCTCAATCAACTTCCTAGAAAATGATTAAAAGCCATCACAACTGAACAATTTTTTTTCAATATTCAGATGTTTCTCCACACTTGGAACACTAGTCACTAAAAACTAAAGTGTATGATCCACCTTGTAGAGGTAATGCATAGGAATGAACTGACAACAGAAAACTGCTGAGCCTTTAAATGGGTCAATGTCTAACCTTTATATCTGCTTCCTAGAGTCCATTCCTCTTTTCCCTCTAAAAACCAGTTCAAGTTGTTCTGAAGTGACCTGTTACAGAATATAAACCGTTCAGGTCTACAGAATCTAGGATTTTGGATTTCTAGCCTTGACTCCAATTTGGAAACCTCAGGTTCAGACTTCTTTAAAACCCTTCCCAATGAAACAAAAATTTGTAATCCGTAGATTAAGACATACAAGTTAAAATAGCCTAATATGTGAAAACTCCTTTTTGAACTTTCAAATAAAAGCCAAAGGCTTCTTTGTGGCCAAAATCTAAATCTGAATTATTCGTGTCTGGCATTGTGTAAACATATTTTTAAGTTCCTTTTGCTGGACTTCATTAACTACTTCTGGCTCTGCAGGACTCTTCTGAACTTTAGCTACTGCTAAGTTTATGCCATGGGTTAACCCAGCTTGTGTAATACTAGCAACCTGGACCATGGAACTGCGAATCTTTGCAAAGGGAGAGACTGCTCTGCTGCTACTGCTCTCTGAAGGAGAAGGAGTTACATGAAGCCCTGACTCAAGTTCCAACGTGCCTGAACCAGAACCAGGGGTCTTTTGAAATATAACAGAGTGCAGTGGTTCAACTGACAAAAACTGTGGGCCTGTTGCAGAAAAAGACACATCTAATTGAGATGGTCGAGAAGGTATTAGTTCTGCTGATTCTGATTTGGTTTCTTCATTAGAAACCTGATTGATCATATGATTTCCTTCCTCACTAGCTTGCTGAGACACACACCTGATCTCTGATAGCTCCGCAATTTTGTTTTGTGCATCTTGCACAAATCTGTGGCAATAAATATCCACAGGCTTGGCAAAACCAGTCAATATATGTATATTGTCAGCAGAAGGACTTTTTTTCAAAGGAGACACCCGGCCTTTTCCAAGCCCACTTCCATGAGCAACAGTAATGTCTGAAAGAGCATGAATGCTAATATCAGTGCTGCTGATAGACTGGGATCGACTGCCTAATCGAGGTGCTGAAGCAATAATACCACAACTAGGAAGAACATAATCTACTGGCCCTACACTCTCTAAAGAATTAGCTAGCTGCCTGTCTTCATCAGACTTGGAATTTGTAAGGAATTCATCAGAGTGGTATGAGTCATTATCTGAAGACATGTCCCCATCAGACTCTGCCTGGACCTTATTGTCCATTACTCCTGAGTGTTCCAAAGTCTCAAGACTACTATCTGATTTCCAAAGATTGACTTTTAAATTTGGTTTTAGAAAGTTAACTTTCATTTCAGGTTTCGTGAAGTTTCCTAACTTTCGAAGGTTGCCAATATTTACATTGGATTTGGTCTGCTTCACTTTTTGATTTAGAGATGAAAATTTGCTCATTAAAAAATTCTTCCCCTGGGCCAAAGAGCCTTGGTTTTGAGATCTGATACCAATGATGTCTTCGTGAGGTTTACTGCTCTTCCTATAAATTAGAAAAGAAAAATATCAATTGTCCATGGAATCCAGTATCACCATTCTAATAAATGAAGATGATTTGCTTATTTAAATTGATTCTGATTCTATGAAAACTGCATCCTTTAACTGATAAGCCCAAATAACTTCTTGGGATTTGATAATAAAATAACACTGTCCGATAGAAATATGAGAGCTACATAAGAAATTTAAATGTGGTTTCCCCCATTCCTCCCCTTGGACATGCCTTTAAAGAACTAAGACCTTGGATAATAATGTCTTTATTCTTGGAAGAAAATCTTAGAAGTGGTATGCTCACCTCTCAAGTTTTTTCTCAATTATAGGTACATCCAATCCCATAGCCTGCTTGGTTATCTGAAGCATCTCTGCAATGCACTGAAGGGTATCTGAAACCCAAATATAACCACTTAACATCTCCAAAAACATACAAAACATACTAAAAATAAAGCTGCTCAAATTCATACAAGCTTGACTAAAATCTGTGATCATGCACTTAAATACAGGTTTAAAAATTGCTACTTGTCCACTAGTCCCCCCACTAATTTAAAATGTTCTAAAACAAATTTTAACAGAAGATATAGAGAATCCATTCAAAGAAACTCCCTGTGATCCTGGGAACAGAGTTCGTATTTAAAGGTCTCGGATCACAATGCTGGACCACTACACTGTAGGCAATGTCCCCAATTCCATTTGGACTCAGAAGAATAGAATATATCAAGCCCACTGCTGAATATTTTTTATATCTTCCTCTTTTTTTACCTTTTCCATCTTCTTCTGGATTACGCATTACAGCTCTCAGTGTATGGAAATAACCACTTGCTTCTTTATATCTGTAGTGCAGTCGCATGCAGGAGAACTTTGGTTTACCAAAGAGTGTGGGTTCAGGACCTAAAAACCCAAATGAATACATGTAAAGTTATACCTTTCACATGACATTCACTTTCCTCTGTCACTTCAAAAGATCAACAAAACATTCATCAACTAGGTAGGTTACAAGTTTTCATAATCTAAATGAGAATGTGCAAAAGACAAGCTTATCGTGACCTTTTGATTTGATGATATATAAAAACTCTTTCAGTCTCAATTATTTAAACTTGATCCCTGGTGTTATCTTCACAAGGCAAAAATAATAGAAACCCAGTTATTATCAGACTATCTATATTATCAGACTATCTATCACTACTCTCTAAGACTAGAAAAGAAGTCTAAAGACAAAGACTACTTGAAATATCCTCTTCTGGTTTCTATCAGATACTTACTCTACCAGTCACTTAAAATAATCTGACCTACACTTGGAAGCAACAGAGTTGGTTAGGATGTTAAAATTTACCTATTTCTATTTTTTCCAGGCCTTCTAGACTCAATCGTTGATATTGGCTTACTTTATCAACTTCATCATCATAACTAGGAAGAGGGAGGAAAAAAGATTACAATTAAAAGCATTTTTCAGCCAACAAGCCAAATATAACTAGTAAACTACTACATGCAGTTAAAATAAAATCTTCCCTAGCACAATAGTCTGGAGTAGAGTTAAAACATAAGAAATATTTTCTAAACAAGAATAACACATATAGTTTAACAGCTAAAGAAAATTGGCTTATAGATCTTACACTAAAAAAGAAACCAATTACAAGGCAAAAAAAAATCATGTTACAAAAGTTTTAAAAAACAAAATCTAAAACCTAACCTAAAATGAAGGCAGAACACTCAAAACTACTTAGAAATATTTTAGCAGATGAAAATTCCATGTGATTTATACCAACAGGCATCTGAAATGAGGACTAAAAATATAATTCTAACAAAGCCAAAAATAAGTAAATATTTATTTAGAAAATATAAATTAGAACTCAATTCTGCTAGAGCATGAGGAAATAATAAAATACTTTTATTTTGCAACTGGCATTGTTAATTGGTAGTCTTTCTGGGAATGGATCTGACAATGAACCTCAAAAGTCACATAATTTCACATATCCTCTTGACCAAAGAGAAGCTGGTGTGTGTGCACAGGGACATATACATACAAGTTATCTGTATATGAATAGCTAACATCATTCATAGTATCAAAAATCTGGAGGTAATTCGATACCTAACAATGGGGAAAATAAAATGCTTTATATGGTATGCTGATACAAAATGGAGTATATGAAAATCTGGGAGCCACACAGATATAATACTAAGCTAAGAAAACACTGTGTGACTCTTAAAAAACAGATTAATAATTCTTAAATTTTTCAAACTGAAAAATATTTCAATGAAATTTTATAATAAAAACCAGATTCTTTAACATTTTTTGCTATGAATTCTAAAAAAAATTTTTTTCCAAATTTAAAAAGAAAATTGAAAGCTCAAAACGAATAAAGCAACTTACTAGGCCACGTAGTAGGCAGAGTTAGAAAGCAGTAGCAGCACATCCACATCTCTATGAGTAGCATCAATGAGGCTAAACAAACATGACACAGGTAATTAAATATCTTCATCTGCATTTTTGGTCAAGCATATTCCTACAGCAGAGTCATAATGACAAAAGACTAGCCAAGTGAACAAAAGAAAAACAATTTGGAGTTAAATGTAATGCAATCAATGCATTTGGAAAATTTTAAAGCAATAAGAAAAAACAGATTTGGGAAGTGGGGGAGGTGGAAAGAAGGACTGGATCTGAGGAGAAGTCCTTTCTCAAAGAGAAGTAGCCAGAAAAGGGGAAAAGGAGGAGTCCTCAGGGAAAACAGGATAATTGGGGGGGGGGAGGTGGTAGGCGGTTAGTGGGAAGATAAGAAAATGTAAGACAGAGGAATCATAGATTACCTCATTGTCTAACATTCAAAACAACACTATACATTTACGATATTTTACACTCCTATAGAATACATCTCTTCAAAAGAGTTTTACATAAATATAACATTTATGTGCAAAAATGAAACAAATCCAAGCTACATTCTATTTTCTCACTATAGATCAAAATAAATAAAAAATACAAGTTAGTGTTGATGGACCATTAAATCAAAATCATAGTAAAATGTATCTCATAAAATTAATAAGGAAACGGTCAAAGTATAAAATCTACAAATTTCTGACAATAGGAAGAATGTGAAAATATGAAAATATTAATCTAATATCAACAGGCTTTCCATGATCAAAAGGTGGTGCATTCTCATAACTAGTCTCTAAATTCCACTGGAAGAGTGGACATTTCTGTCTTAAGATTTCAAGATTTCATAACAAAATCGCTAGATCTTATAAAAACGCCAGTGGAAAAGCAAATAAAAAACAATAGCGGAAAAAAGATTCGTAGATGGAACGAACTTAAGCCAGTACTTAATCTGCGTAAGAATGAGGTCATTGTTTAACGGGTACTGCGGGATTTACTAACATCTTCAACTGCAGTCTTCCACATCCGCGGCACCTTGCTGCGGCATGACTCTAGCAGTCATCTAAAACAAATGCACCTCAATTTTCGCCTAATAAACTGAAGAACACAATGAGGAAGAATAAGATGCCAGAACCCGATAAAACAGATTGATTCTAAGAGCCAAAATTTGAGCATTATCCAATGAATGGGAAAAAGAAAACCACATATTCAACGATCCAGGGAGCTTCATTGAGAATAATACCGAATAACACAGTAATATGCGATTTCATTTTATGCATTGATACTTACGTGCATTCAGAAAATTGTTGCTTGAGCCAAGCCCAAAAAATACGTCACGACACATATTTTTATATGAAATAAATTCTACTCTACTAATTACAGAGATTACTTTCATCCTATCTTCCTAATTCGGCATTAATATTTACATCAGGCAAACATGATCCTCAGTCTAAAACATTATGTCCTTAATGAAAAGCACTTGGCACATAATAGGCGGTCGAAAAATGTCGGCCCTCCCCCCACCCGCATTTTTACTGAAGTCTTAACTGCAGTAAATACTTAATTTCCCTCCCCACCCACCCTTACCCCATTAAAAAAAAAAAGCACTTTTAATACGAACAAGAAAGAAAAAGAAAGACCCCTTAGGTGCTTCCCCACCCCCCACATCTGCAGCCTTGAGGATGCTGCTCTATTCATTTTTGTTTTCCCGCCACTGAGGCAAACCCTCCTTCCACACTATGAAGACAAAAATCGCCAGCACCACATGCAGCCCGACCACCGCGACAATAGTCGCATAGAAGGCGCTGTCTTCAGGGGACATTAACATCAGGCTCTGGAAAAGAAGTAATTTACAGGAAAAATATAACCCCACAGGAACTTTAACCATAAGTCCTGCAAAAAGGAGAAAAATCTTAAAAGTCATGGCAAGAACGCCTTCAGACTTGGGCTCGGCAGCATTGGCGGCGGCAGCCCGCTGCGCGGCTGGTGGAGGCCGGTGGGAGCGCGGCATTGTCAGTCGGTCCGTCCGTCCGTCTGTCCGTCGATGTCTCGAAGCTCAGTCTAGAGCCACCTGCACCCTAGCTCGCGCCTGCAGTGAATGCGGCAACTGCTATGCGGCCGCGCCAAGTCACGCCCAGGGGACACGTCTGGTTTCCGGCCGCCCACTTCCGGCAGTGGCTGATTGGCAGTGCGCATGCGCACCTTGCTCTGCGCATCCAGCGCCCTCCACGGAGGGCACGGACCCCGGCCCGGTGGGGGAAGGGCGCTGGGTGGTCGGCTCCCGCGATACTTGGCTCGCGCCTTCGCAACGGTCGGCGAGCAGCGGACCTCGGCCGTATCTGACCCAGCAACAGGCCTGATGGAGAGTGGTTATCCCGTGGCTAATCACTCAGCGAAACCTGGTAGGGGCAGCGGGGCTTTGAGTGTCCAGAGGGCGAGCTGAATAGAACCGCTACACACTTGGCTTTGTAGAGTGGCTGAAGGACATATCTGTAGTTTCCTCTCAAATTTAAGGACCTCTTTCCCATTATCGCCAGACTGTGCTGCAACAACTGGAGGCGGGAAAGGAGGTGGCGGGAAAGGACACAAAAGGCTTGAGAGGTCAGCCCTTACGTGCATGGGCTGTACGAAATGGCCCTGTTGCGCTGGACAGCTCCCACAGGGCCCAGGCGGAAAAGCGCCGCAGCTCCGGGCTCCCGCCAGCCACGGCTTGCCGCAACTATGCTGCGGCAGGGACTGCGGTTTGGCGAGGGAGGCACTGTCTCACGCATAATTAAGGGGATAACACAGGATTAATGCAGTACTTTTAAAAATCAAAATTACTGTAAAAATATGACCAAGACATCAAAAAATTAAGACAGTAAGGGTTTCTGCATTTGTACAATCCTTCCTTGTTTGCCTGACCCTAATCCCCACCCAGACCTTGGTAAAACTATTTACAACTCAATAAAAATATAAACGTTTCAATTTAAAAATAGGCATTGAATTCGAATGACATTTTTGACCCCTAAGGAAGATACAAAAAGAGCCAACAAGCACAAGAAAAAAAAATCCTCAACATTTGTCATAAGGGAAATGCAAATCAAAGCTAAAAAGGTATACCTTACTTCAAATACACTAGGATAACAAAAAATCTTTTTAAAAGGGCAAAATAAGTGTTGGTCAAGTCTGGAGAAATTGGAACCCTCATACATGCTGGTGTAAGTATGAAGTAGCACAGCCACCGTGGAAAATATTTTGGCAGCTTCTCAAAAGTCGAACGGGATTACCAAATGAGCTGGCAATTTTATGCCAAAATATACACTCAAATGAACTGAAAATATGTGCAAACAAAAGCTTGAATACAAATGTTCATGCAACACTGTAATAGCCAAAATGTGGAGATAATCCAAAAGTTGTGTATATCCATACAATGGAATGCTGTTCAGTTACTTGAAAAAATGAGGTTTGTGCCACAATGTGGATAAACTCCAAAAACATGCGAGATCAACCAGTCACAAAAAGTATTATTCAACTTATATGAATTGTAGACCACTCCATCCCCCATATTTCCTGAACTTCCAAAAGGGGTTCATGTTGGAATCAGCCACAGAGTGATTTAGTGCCTCTCATTAAAAAGAAATATGACTTCTGATAGACATACCCTTTCCTTCTATCCAAGCCAAGAAGCTAAAACATGATCTGAGAAGCCACCACCTTCAAAGTATCAGCCTCACCATCTGCTCCATCCATCTCATCCTATCCCAAAGCTTCAACAAAAGCAGTTTCCAGCAAAACAGTAAGAACAGGAACACACAAAGGCCAAAATACCCGGCACATGGCCAGTACTTCAACCATTGTGAGATACAGCCAGTCTGGCATAGTCAGCCTTAGAGGAGATTCTTCTGGAGAGTCTCAAACTTTAGCTGCAGTGGCTTGAGAATCAACATGTCATTCCCTCAGACACTGACGCTGGCCTGGTTAGCAGTGGGACTCCCCTGCACACCTCTGCCTTAGACCTGAGGCAGCTTCTCTGGATCAAAGAACTAACAGAACCACTCTCCATCAGGCACTGGCTCCATGTTAGTGGAGAAAATACAAACTTTTACAACCAATAAGACAAGGAAGGTAGCATCTCAGCTGATGATTCTTGGGTTGATGGGAGATCCAGAGTCTTTCAGTATTCCAAAGGTTACCAATTCCAGAGTTACCAAAGACTATGATACAGATGGGCCTATTTTGTACACAAGGAAGAAGATGAGAACGAGGATGGCAGTAGAAGCTTTGGCAAGTAAAAAAGGCAAAGGATACTTTGCATCACTTGATAACCAACCACCTGAGGAAGAATTAGAGGACAAATATATCATGTAATAACGTCTGAGGAAGAAAAGGGAATCTAAGGACAAACTAGAAACTAGTCAGGAAACTCAGCAAGAGGCCCACACCTGAATATACCCTAAAACAAAAGAATGAAGAAGTAGAACAAGAAGCAAAATACAACTAAAAAGGGGCTGGAATTGTGGCTCAGCAATGGAGTGCTTGCCTCGCACGTGTGAGGCGCTGGGTTCGATCCTCAGTACCAAATAAAAATAAACAAAGGTATTGTGTCCATCTACAGCTAAAAATATATATATATATTAAAAGAAAATACAACTAAAAGGCCAAATCAACAAAAAGCTCAGCCTGAGATCACAGTGACACAGTTACAAGCATGACGTATACTGTGACATTTAATGAGTATACAGAGATTACTATTCCCCTGTCTGTGACTGCCAGACACACAGTCCTACAAACAAGACAGCAATAAGGACAGAATAAATAAGACTGCATTGTCCATCATGAAATATAAAACTAACCCTGGGTTTCAATTCTAGTATAAAAATTAAAATATGTATGTATGTAAACACATATACATATATATTTTATATTTTTTGGTACCAAAATACAGTTTTTAAACAAATGGCTTAAAAGAACACAAATTTTTTGCTAAGATGTGTGAGAAAAACCTCACCTCACTTTAAAGGTATGCAAATTCTATCCATACATACAGTATTTACTATCAAAATGAAATCTTCCATGACATTAACTTCATGGAAGTTTTGTCTATGAAGTAAGTCAATGTTACTTTTTATTAATGTTAATATATGTAAATACTATCTTCATTTGATTGTGCTTTGAAGCATATTTAATGTCCCTTTTATTAAAATTACATGAAATGTACAAGATAAAATCTAGAATGCTTTATTCTCGGAGCGGAGCTTGGCCTAGAATTTCCTAAAATGTTTTTGATTTTATAATATTGAAGATTACTGTTTTAGATTTGTGTAAAAGCAAGCAATTTGGTAGATCAATTTAGATTCTGCTATTCACTGATATTTTGAAGAACCACTTGAAACTGGATGCTTTTTGTTCAAAAAAATGTCAAGTATTAGTCAGCCTATTTATTTGATGAAAGGCTAGGACCACTTTATATCCAATAAAAATAATAAGCATCACTTGTATCTCTTATTGCACTCACTTATGTGCATCAATACAATAAACCTAAACTCTGGAGATGGCAAGGCAGGATCCACACTGCCAGCTGCAGGCTGCAGTTGGCCAATATCAATTTTTTTTTTTTTTGTAACAGGGATTGAACTCAGGGGCACTCGGCCACTAAGCCACATCCCCAGCCCTGTTTTGTATTTTATTTAGTGACAGGGTCTGAGTTGCTTAGCGCCTCACAAGTTGCTGAGGCTGAATTTGAACTCACGATCCTCCTGTCTCAGCCTCCTAAGCCTCTAGTATTATAGGAGTGTGCCACTGTGCCTGGTGGCCAATATCAATTTTTAAAAATCAAATTTGTATTAAAATACTTATTTTAATTACTGAGTTTTTTAGCACTCCCTTAATTTTGCACCCACTGTATCTTTTTTTTAATTTAATATTTATTTTTAGTTTTCGGCGGACACAACATTTTTTATTTTTATGTGGTGCTGAGGATCGAACCCAGTGCCCCGCACATGCTAGGCAAGCATTCTACTGCTTGAGCCACATCCCCAGCCACCGTGAGTATCTTAAGTTAGTACTTCAGCAGCAGTCCTATACTAAAAATTGCCATGCATCATGCATCCACGCCCACAGCTAGCATTAACTGTGACAACTTACCAACATCAGGTTAAGCAGGTTACTTATCAGGACACCATTTCAACTCACCTGGGATCACAATCAATGAGTGCCCAGCCCCCATGGAATTTCTCATCATCAGGCAGTAGTAACTTCATGTAACTTTGTAAGAGCTGACTAATTAGTTCCTGGTGGCTTCTCTGATTTTCCTTATGCAAAGCTTCATGCTCTTTCTCCTTAGTAAATATGGAATAAAGATCTTCTGTCACTGGAATGCCTTGCATCAAATCTAGGGTGGAAGAGTTAATATCTATTATCAATAAGCTAAGTAAGACCTAAAACTTTAAGAATACAACATAAACATAAATCTTTATAATCTTTACTTGGGCAAGATTTTTTAGATATGGCACCAAAATCTTAAACAACAAAAGAAAAAAATGTGACAATCATCAAAATTTAAAACTTTTGTGTTTCAAAGGGCATTATCATGAAAGTGAAAAAGACAACCCACAGAAAGAGGGGAATATTTATGACACAATATCTGATAAGGGACTTGTATACCCAATATTTTAAAAACTCCTATGACTTGATACTAAAAAGAAAAACCAATTTTAAAATATGGTCAAAGATTTGTATAGACAAGCTAACTTCCTCCTGAAGGGGCATGCTATGCTGCTGAAGCTTAAATAAATCATTACAATCCCATTCCTGTAAAGAAATTTAGGACAGTGAGCCCTGAGATATCTCTGGGAAAGAACCACTAACCCTACAAAGGGAAGCAATAAGTCAGAACTTCTACTGGCCTCCATCTCTATACCTTGAAGAAAACAAGTGTCAGAATCAGGATGAAACTGGTGGGATGGACAGTTAAATTGAGAGGATGACAGAAGCTGGGTTGCTATATCAACCAGTAGACTCAATAAACTGCTAAAATCAAATTCTCTAGTCATAGCATAGCTCAAACCACCTCCCACCTCCACTCTGGCAAATGAATCAAATTTCTTTATACCAGAATTCTCTAATTCCCAATTGGCTATTGTCTAGGCCCTGGTTTTTCATGTGTGCTTAAAAAAAAAAAAGAATCTGGTTAAAAAAAGAGGAGGGGATAAAAAGATTCTCAGAAACCACAGGTAAGCTATGTTGCATTTGATTCTTTTTTAAAATTTTTTTAAATTGTAGTTGTACACAGTACCTTTATTTATTTTTATGTGGTGCTGAGGCTCGAACCCAGCTCCTCACACGTGCTTGGTGGGCACTCTACCACTGAGCCACAACCCCAGCCCCTGGATTTGATTCTAATCCAAAACACTCTGCATTTTCCATAAGCCTTAATTTTCCTTTAAAATTCCTCATTTTAAATCCTTAATTTTATAAAAATTAAAAGACATGTCAATGCATATATTTTCTACCTTCCTATTTCCTCTTCTAAATAATGATGAATTGGTAAGGATGCTGTCCAAATCTGATTCTCTACTAACTTGTTAAACCATGTTTATGGAAGAAGATGATGTATTTGTCCACCACAAGAACATTTGACAAATGCTTTAATGGGGGAAAAAAAAAACAATCTGGTTATATCACTTAGCCTTGAGTAATGGGAAAACAAACAAAATATGAAGTTTTTAGTTGTTGAGGTTTTAAGCAACTTATTCCACACTCCAGGAGCTTCAGCTTTGCTTTATGTTACAGGAGTAGCAAACTGACATATATGTATGAAAGTAGATGTTTTCTTTTGTTTCTCGAGCCAAAAATATCAGTCAAATTCTAAATCTTATAAAAATTTAAATCTGATTTATTGGGTAAGAGGTTCAATATAGAAACACAAGTATATTACAAAACATGAGTTGTGTTAATGAAGTTGATTTATGTAAAATTTTTAGTCACAGAGTAAACTTTTGAAGAAAGAATATAATAAATTTTGAGGGGAAAAAAACATTTATATTCCTTACCTATAACAGCTTGCCTATAAGCATCCTTAAACCGATTGAGGTAATACCTATTTGCTGAGTTAACTCCATCTTTCATAACTCCTGCTAATTTCCTTTCCCCTGTTCTTGTAAAGTCACCCTGTTAAAAGAAAAAGCCATTTTGACAATTTATTCAAACATAAAATATTCTCAAAATCAATTCTGGGCTTTCATTTCAAGACTAGAATTATAAAGACTTCTATAATTTCCAAATCCTAACTTTAATAATTTTCAAATAGTGCAGTTAAGGTATTTATTAGTATTTGACTGATTCAAGCATGTCAAATAATTAAATATGCTATTTGTGGCACCAGTTTTCATATTTAGTTGGTATTTTAGGGTAAAGTCCTCCTTGGTAATTCGTAGAATTTCTAGAATTGACAGGCCAAAACAAAAGATTTTCAAGACTTTGGTATGATATTCAAGAACCAAATTTCTGAAGTGTAAAATGTGGATAGTTCCCTAGAATTTATTATAACAGAATTTAACCAGTGTGTGCATATGTGTAGATGAGTAGAAAGGGAAGACCACGATTTCCGTGGATCACTGCACATGTACAACAATCCAAAAAGGGTTTAAACTTCTGTTTTTCACAACAAACATGGCAGAGAAGATCCTTAGAGAGGCAGTAACTTACTTTTCATGCAAGAAAGATACATTCTTTCTTTTCCCATTCCAATCCCTCTTTCTAGCCAAGACAATCTCAAATACAGGCCTCATCCTTAAACTGAAATTTAAGGACCATGCTCCTAATCAGGCCATTCTTGGGGAATATTTGTAAAGTAATAACTATTACAGAAGACATAAACATGAATCCCAAAGAAGTTTAAAATCAAATGGGGTGGGGGAGCGGTCTTATTCTTTTTTTGTTTTTAAATATTTGTTTATTTTTTAGGTGTAGATGGACACAACACAATGCCTTTATTTTTATATGGTGCTGAGGATCGAACCTGGGTCCCGGGTCCCACCTGTGCTGGGCCACAATCCCACCGCTGAGCCACAATCCCAGCACCACATTCTTTAAATAATAAAATGTACAAGAACTTCTAAAGCTAATTTTTATATTTATCATTCAATCAAAAAGATGAACTATGTGATGCTTGTTAGGCCCTTAATAGTACAATTTGTAAAAGAAATATCCTGAGATGAACTATTACCTTGAAGGAAAATTAACAAAAACCTAATTTAACAAATTTGACTACTTCCTATTGCCCACAAAGAGCAATACACACAAAGGCAGCATTTGGTTTCCAGAGAATATATTTACATTTAAAATTTTATGAAGACTAGCTATATGAGATTGTCAAAGACTTATAACAGAAAATAATAAAGTACTTCTCCAGCACTTACTATGTGTTAGGGAATGTTCTAAATTCTTACAAGCATTTAAGTCTATTTCCATGATGACCTTTTACAATATGCCTAGTCTTACTGCAAATGAGACAGAAACTAAGTGACTTACCCAAGGTCACAGAGTTGAGGATTAGAATTCAAATTCAGCAAAGACAAATTATCATAATAGAGACCAAGTTCTGCCAATAGATATGCTTTGTTTTATCTCTACCCAGTTTTAAAATCCATTCACAGAAAATTCCAGATTTCTAGGCTCCCTTGAAAAACAAAGATATAGCAACAGAGGGCCTCCTAAGGAAACAGTGGACTGGCCCCCTCCAGGAACAGTAAATGCTCTCCTCAGTCTACTTCTCCCTCTGAACTAATGACAACCTGCTTGAGTCACATTACCTGGTAGCTGTAGGAATTTGAATGAATGACCTCTGCCTTAGCCAAACATTCCAGAAGGGAATAAACTACCCAGACCTGTCATCTGTAGTCTAGATAACTCTCTCTCAAAAACAAAGTTGATTTTAAATCATAGTCTAATCTGCATCCCACAGAACAATCCATAATTGCTTGCTGCACACATTCACCTTCAGAGCAGCTGTCCCAGCATACTGTCTGCTAATGGAGTCACCATTGTTAGCCCACATTATCTGGTAGATTCGATTACACTTCACAGGTAATGGCTGCTCCGGGAGCATCACACCTAATTTTTTCAGCTAAAAAGAACACATTGTTAGATTATATATGAGCCTAGAAACCATAGCATCAAATGTGTACTGTATAAAAAGAAAACATATTGACATAAAATTTAGGACCCTTACATTTAAAAAAATTTTTTTTCTGACATTTTAAAATAAAACACTGTTAAAATACAGCTTTATGAATCTATAGTTGAATAATATAAGGAAATATCCATAATTTTTTATTTATAATTTTCATGGGGGGGCAGGGCTTATCAGGAATTTGAACCTAGGACCTCTTGCATTTGTTATAATTTTTAATGTATTGTCTCACACTATTATATGTTAAATTCTTTGTTTTAAATTTGCCTACAAAATAAAACTAAATATTAGAAAAGCATAAGGAAAAATAATATTAACAAAAGCAAAGTAGTGAGTGCCCAGTAAATGTGAATTCTACTCTAGAGTTCTAAGAGTTTTTTCACATGAATTATCTCATTTACTCATCATAACACTATACACATCAATACTTTTATTAAAATATGACAATATTAAGGTTTGGAGAGGTTAAGGTCTATGGTAGAGTCAAAACCTAGCATGTGATAGAGCCAGACTTAAATTCAGAAGCCTGGCTATTCAAACACTACATAAGATAAAGATTCAGTCACAAGGTTGTATCATGAAAAACAAAACACAAAAATCTAGAAACCATGCTAGGTATTTTCACTTAATTATTTATTTACTTACTGCAGTAGTAATTATTTATTTACTTACAGCAGTACCAGTAAGTATGCAGGGCCTCACACATGCTGGCCTCTGAATTGAGATCCTCCTGCCTCAGCCTCCTGAGTAGCTGGGATTATAGGTATATACCACCATAACTGGCTCACTATGGGGATTTAATTTTCAAATTCATTCACTTTAGGAATTTATATAATACAGGAACTTTATTATTTGGGTATTGGAGGACTGAGAGATCTAAAATGGAACACTGAGGTAAGAGAGATGATAGAAAACAATGAAGGAAATAGCTGCTACCCATAGGGCTAGGATAGAAGGGTAGCCACTTTATTCAACTTATTTCTAATAAAGTTTGTGGTTTTCAAGTTTTAAAGCAACAGTGATGTTTGTATTCTATAAATGTTCCATAGAACATCTGGAATTTGAAAAAATATTTCATTGTTTATTTATACATAAAAAACACTTAAAAATGATTATTTAGAATGAAATGAATGGACTCCAAGTTACCTGCTGTTCCATGACCACTCGTGCGATGGCAGCTTGGACCACATTGGTGCGATCCAGACAGTCCATGCAATTAACTCGAAAAATCCCTTCTTGTTTACATATTACCCCAGCTTGATCAACCCTTTTCAAAAACAGTATAGGACTATTTTACAATTTGAAATACTTTAATACATTTTTCAAAAAACAATTTTTTTGGGGGGGAAAGGTACCAGGGATTGAACTCAGGGGCACTTGACCACTGAGCCACATCCCCAGCCTTATTTTTTATTTTATTTAGAGAAAGGGTCTCACTGAGTTGCTCAGTGCCTCACTTTTACTGAGGCTGGCTTTGAACCCACAATCCTCCTGCCTCAGCCTCCAGAGCTGCTGGGATTACAGGTGTGGGCCACCATGCCTGGCTCAAAAACCACAATTCTTTAAAGTATAACAATAACAGAGCAGCATTAGTTAGCAATGTTCTTGGAATATCATTATGTGCCAGGAATTGAGTCTTTTACAGACAATGTTGTTAATTTACACAGTAAGTTGACAGTGACAAAATTATCCCCATTTTAGAAAACACAGCAAAACTGAGGTACAGAGAAAGAGTGATTTGTCACAAATCATATAACTACTAACTACTAGGCAGAGCTGAAAACAGAGAGCACTTTTAACACCATCTCCTTCCTCCTCTTTCGATTCAAAGTAGAAATGCATCTACACTATCTGGAACAGACTAACCTACTTTAACGCCTAGTGAGGAGTCAGGCGGCATGCCTTGTTCCTCTAATTTCTCTGGCCACCTGTTTAGTCTTAAAATTGAATTGAACATTCTCTCCTGTCCTTTAAGCCATTTTTTTTCTTCCTACATTTACCTCCTGTAGCTGAGAATCATTTTCCTTCTCTGTTAATTTTGAATTGCCTGAAAATTGAGTACCTCTAAATCTTCTCTCCCATGTTAGAGATGGTAAGAAGGAGAAAATGTGTACCAGAGAGCATGAAAAGGAATAAATGGATGTCCTTAAAGAATAGTTACAGAGCATTTTGCATCATTTTGCCCAACCACCTGACATCTGTTCCCTGTTCAAAGCTAACACTGCCTATTGGGAAGCAAAATAAACAAAACAAAAATGCTTTCTTAGGATGATGCTATTATTTTAAAGTTCAGTTGTACTAGACAAATGATTTCACATGACAGAGCGTCTTTCAGAATACCTTCTTACGAAATACCTACCAACACCATTTCATGTCAAGAATAATGTCATAAATGGCATCTGTTAGGGTTTGAACATTCTCAAACTTCATTCCTCGGCTAAAATCCATGTGAAAGAAAGAAAATAAAAATAAACTTAATTAAGATATAATTTTTTATCTTGGAAAAAATAAAGCAATTGTTATTACATGTATATGTGTTACTACAACAATGTATTACATAGCTAATTTTATAACTGTTTATAACTAATCTGCATTATGAAAGAAAGCACACCTAAAGAAAACACCAAAACATATTACACATATCAGAAGCTTCCCTCACCACCAAATCTCCAATATCTAGGCAAATTAACTAACCCAAGTTAGAGCCAGGAGTATGGCAAAACAAAACATCAGCAACAACAACAACAAAAAACAAAGAAAATCCAAAGAACACCCAAAACACCTTGCTTTCAGAATGCACAAATTAAAGACACCTTCAACAGATTCACCAATTGCCATTTTCCAGAGCAGACTCTATAGTTAAGTTAGTTCATAGGGACAGAGTGTGACTAATAGAGTATGAGAAGGTGATTTTTTAATAAGGAAACTCTGTTGTTTCTGCTAGGCTAGACCTAAGCAGAAAGGAAATGCTCTCCAACTGGTATTACAAAGCAAAAATGAAACTCTTAAGTCTCTGACATTTTAGAACAGAACAATTAACTAAAATATTATTTTAGCCAAAATAAGGTCCATATGAAAATTAAAACAAATGACACTCTTTCCCTAACAAAATTTTTTCTTCCCAGCAATGAAAGAAGAAACAAAAGTCCTTGTGGCAGTATCTATCATTAACACTGCAACCGGGCTGGAGATGTGGCTCAAGCGGTGGTGCGCTCGCCTGGCATGTGTGCGGCCTGGGTTCGATCCTCAGCACCACATACAAACAATGATGTTGTTGTGTCCGCCAAAAACTAAAAAATGAATATTAAAAATTCTCTCTCTCTTTACTGCTCTCTCTCTCTCTCGAACTCTCTTTAAAAAAAATAAATAACACTGCAACTGCTGAAAACTTATCTCAGGAAAGCATCTTACCAATGCTCATGGAAGTCAAAGGAAACGTAAGTGAGCTGTGAGTTGTTAAAGAGCAGCACTTGTTTAAGGTAAGCATCCCCAATAATCTTCTCTCTTCCTGCCTGGTCTACCAAGTTAATAATAACCTGTGATAATGAATAAAAGGAAAAAACTTAGGTTAATTATATATTAGAATCATAATGTGATTTTTAAAGATTTATTTGAAATTAAGTTTTAGAATTTTTCTACAACCATGCCTAGAAATTAATCTACTCAAACATTAATTTTTCCTATGAAATTAAAATTCCACTTGTAACATAAACTTGGGATTAGAGAATTATTTAAATCAATGGCATTAATAGCTTTTCTATACATTTGCAATAACCAATTAGAATATACAATGAAAACATGATCCTATATTTATAACAGTAAGTATTTTAAATGTCTAGAATAATTTTAAAAGAAATAAATAAAACCAGCATACTGAACATTATAAAACTGCTGAAATTTGTAAAAGAAAATCTGAATAAATGGAGATATGTATCATGTTGCTGAATGGCAAGATTCAACATTGTAAAGACGTCAATTCTCCCCAAGTTAATATATATACTCAATAATCTCAATCAAAATTTGACATATTAATTCTAAAGTTCATTTGGAAGAGTAAATACAAAGAAAACATTTGGAAACTAATAATAAAGAAGAATTTGCCCCACCGGAGAGCAAAATACATTCTGCATAGCAATTAAAACTGTGGAACTGGAGTAGAAACAGGTAACTGACTCAACGGAACAGGACTGATGGCCCAGACAAAGATCTAAGTCCACTGAGAAATCCAAGATACACTAACCATACCACTATGGCGAATATGGACTTTTCTATCAAAGGTATTGGGATAACTATATCCCCAAGGGTATTAGATAATTATCCAATGTCTCTGGGATATATGGGGGCCATACATTAGCTCTCTACATCTCATTAATTATAGAGAAAATAAATTCTAGACATATTATAATCTAATTTTTTCCCTCAATTTTTAGAAAAAAACAACTCAATGTTTCCATAATCACGGGTTGGGACGTGACTTTTCAAGCTCAACATAAAAAGCAGAGGGCATAAAGGAAAATATGGATAGATGTAATAACAAAAATTTTAAGCCTGTATGCCACTGTCAATATAAGGTTAAAAAAAAAAAAAGACTACCCAGGAGAATATACCAGCAACATGAAAACCAAAAATATGTAAAGAATATAATAAATCCAATAAGGAAACATTGGGTAAATTCACAAAAGAGAATGTATAAATAGCCAATAAATATGAGGTTACAGCCTTTTTAATAAATGAATGAAATAGAAAACTAGTTTTTACCTGTATATAGGCAAATGTGAATACTAAATACAGACAGCATTGGTAAATGTTGGAAAATGAACCCAGTTTCCATTGTTCCTGGCAGTATGAACTGTGTGTGCTCTTTTTTGGGAGCAACAAAGTGGTAGGTCAACTTTAAATATATATACTGTCTGATCCAGCAATTTTATTTCCAGAAATTTATTCTATAAAACACACAAGAATCCCAAAATATATAGAAGATGTTTTCTGGAAACTTTTTATAATAACAAAATAACTCGTAAAACAACTAGTATATTCTAAAGATCTACCAATGGAGAAATGGTTAACTAGCAGCCATAAAATCTTAAGTGAAAACAGTTTGCAGAACAGTATACAGGATATAGCTCTCTTTTTGACTTAAGTTTTGAATTGTGAATATGCATGTGTTAAGGTGTTTTCTGCTGCAAATGACAAACCACTGACTCAAATCAAGTAGCATGGTTCCAGAATGGCTAAATTCAGAGGTTCCCAGTACCATCAAGGACACTGGTTCTTTCCACCTCCCCCCCTTCTCACCCCCAGTATTGGGATTTGAACAGAGAATACTTGACCACTGAGCTACATCCCCAATTTTTTAAATTTCAAGACAAGGTCTTTCTAAATTGCTGAGGCTGTCACCAACCCTCCAGAGTAGCTGGGATTACAGTGTGCACCACCAGACTTGGAATTCTTTCTACCTTTTTTATTCTGCCATTCTTTTCATCTTTTTTATCCTACCAGCATATCAGTTAAGACTCTGGCTAGTTCTTTCAGTCTTGAGATAGCTGCAGCAGTTCCACATCAAATCCTGCCACAACAACCACAGGGGGACTATTGGTTCCTGTATCTCTTTTTATTAGAGCAGGAAATCTTTCCCCAACAGCCTCCCAGGGGACTTCTCTCCCATCATACTTTATTGGGCAAATCACCAATGAAGACACAGGCCCACGCCTAAGCCAATCACTAGCAAAATAAATGGTGCCACCACAAGTGAGTCAGACCAACAGTAGACCCATCGCCCTGGAAAGCAATTACCCAGGAAAAGAAGGTAGATAAGCAAACACTGTTGGAGCACTGTTAGAAATCAGAAAGTGTCTGCTCAATACAGACACCAATAAAATTGATGTGAAAATCAAAAGGAAGCAGGGGTAAGTGTAGGTTATGTTTTCTGCTTACACACCTCAGTACCACTCCAATCTTATGATGTGCCACTTTTAAAATGTGTTCTGTTCTTTTAGTGCTACTTACAATTACACATATCACTAATAAATGAACTTACATTGTTCAAATACAGAATAGGGCCAAATCCTCCTTTACCACAACCCAATCCCAAAGTCCTCCTTGACAATAACTCCTTTATCAGTTGGATGTGTCCTTTCAGATCACATAATTGCATTTCTGGACACTTGTGCATGCCATATATGTGTGTGGATAGGTGAATAAGAACTACTTATATGTAACTGACACAGTTTTGTTTTGTTGGATGTTTAAACTCACATACCACATGCTGTTAATAGTTTTTTATCTTCTTGCTCCACAATGTGATTTTAATATCTTTCCATCTTAGTATGTGTGGATCTACCTAATTCATTTTAAGCAACATTTATATATGCTGTATTTTATCATTGTCTACCTGATGAATACTAGTTTGTTTTTTATGCTGCAATGCACGTTTTTGTATGTGTCTTCTGGATTGAATATGTTTCTCTCAAGTAAATTTAAATTTTTCCCATTCAAGTTCCAGTTGTTCTACATTTTTGCCAAAACTTGGTATTTCTCATCTTTTTCATTTTAGCCATTTTGGTATGTGAGTCATGGTTTTAATTTGCATTCCCTTGATGATTAATGAAGTAGAGCATCTTTTCATGTTTTTTTTTTTTGGCAGGATTTTTTGGGGGGTTGTACATTTTTTTAAAATACATTTTTAGTTGTAGATAGACACATAACTTTATTTATTTATTTTCATGTGGTGCTGAGGATCTAACCCACGTGTGCTAGGTAAGCACTCTACTACTGAGCGACAACCCCAGCCCCTATACATCTTTTTAAATGAATTTATAAGAGTTTTTAAACATAAAAGAGATCTTTGTCATAGACATGCAATGGAAATCTTAAACATCTTCTCCCACTTTGTTAATTTTCTTTTCATTCTCTAATGGTTCCTTTTAATGAACAGAAGTTCTTTATTTCAATAAGGTCAAATTTATCAACTTTTAAAATTATAATTAGTGTTTTTAAGTCATACATTATTTTAATAAGGTTTTAACAAATGACACATAACATATATAACAGTATTTTCATATGTATAAGTTAATAAAGTTAAATAATCAATTGTGTTTTAATAAAAATTAATTTAAAGTCAAAGTCAAATCTATTAATTTTTTCATATGTTTTTTAAAAAACTATTTCCTTTATGGGTATTACCCTGTATTAAACTGTTAATAAAATATATGCTATACAATCATACATTGAAAACATGGGAAGGGGCCGGGGTTGTAGCACAGCGATATGGCGCTTGCCTAGCATGCGTGAAGCACTGGGTTCAATCCCTGGAACCATATAAAGAACAAAAGTATTATGTCCATCTACAACTAAAAAATATTGAAAAGAAAAGAAAACATGGTAAAACAATGGTTAGTGCCCTTTTAAGTTCTACTTTAGACCCAAAATAAGAGATATTCTATATTGCTTTCTAAATGCTTTAATGTTTAACCTTTCACATTTATGTCCATAATCTATCACAAATTGATTTTTGTATAAGGTATGTAGAATATCAAAAAGAAAAATTACTGTGTTAAACAGTATGTTTTGATTAATAACATTCAAAATGACTGTACCAAAATTGTACTTCTGCGAACAATATGTAAGAATTCAATATATAAATTCCTGCCTTCATCTCTTATTATTATATTCCTAATTTTTTTCTAATGTGAGAATTCCTTCCTGAGACTTTGTTTCATATTACATGAAGTTTATATATTAATTTGGAAAGAACTGAAGTCTATTCAAATTGAGCCTTTCCTTCCAGGAACATGATATTTTCTCTCCATTTAAATCAGGTTTTCTTTTGTGTTCTTCCACAACTTTTTTCTTTTCCACATACATTTTATCTTTTTGTATGGCTACTACATTTTAGATTATTTCTTCCTATTTTATGTATTATTACTATAAGATAAATGCATCCCATGGCATTACACATTCAGAGTGGTCACTGCTAGTAGATAACATTACTATTATATATTAATCTTGTATCAAAATTATTGAACTTGTATTTCACTTAAAAGCTTTTAATTGATTTTGGATTACATGATTACATTCCTACATATGAGTTTATGAAAGATTAGCAGAGAAAAAAAACAAGATACTGAAAACTGCATATCAAATTCTTATCTCTAGTAGGTAAAAAGAGGTAACAGTAACAGAGATGACTTTCAATTCTTAGTCTAGATACTTCTTGGATTGTTAACAATTAACTGATAGCATCTTCATCTATCTTGTCCAAATACAGTCTAAAATAACTGGAGCCAATGTGGTGGCACACACCTATAATCCCAATGACTCCAGAGGCTGCGGCAGGAGGATCACAAGTTTGAGGTCAGTCTCAGCAACTTAGTGAGACCCTAAGCAACTTAATGAAATCCTGTCTAAAAAAAAAAAAAAAAAAATCTTAAAGGGCTGGGGATGTAGCTCAATAGTAGGGCACCCTTAGGTTCAATCCCCAATACTGTAAAAATAAAATAAGTTGACTCCATAAATACTTTTTTTTAAAATATTCTTAGATTATACATGGTTTTTAACTTCATGACAATTGCTGCTTTGTTTAATTATGAATAATAAATTGTATTTCCATGAAATTTAAAGAAATAGAAACACAGTCAATTCTATAGATAAAGAAACATTTTACTACTACATATCAAAGCCCACCTGTTTTTTGTAAATTTTCAGTTGTTCTTCGAAATGGGCACAGAAATAGGCAACAGTTTCCTTTTCACCTACAAAGAAGTGATACAAAATCTATTTTTCCTTCCCATGTTTAAGACAAATTACTGTCTATTCCATCTTTATCCTTACTTCTAAATAATTTATTGACAACTCAAACTTAAGATTGTCTATTATTTTAAAATAAAATGCTAATGAGAGGATATAGCTTTTCTAATTTTACATTTATATTTCTCTTGAATTAAAATGCTTAATGGCTACTTACTATATTTTAATTTTGAAATAAACCCAACCAAATTACTCCTATTTAAATTAAAAAAATAAAGATACATCAACCCAATGATATGTTAAATTTTTTAAAATAACATTTATTTTTAAATATGCTCCCATAAGATTTCCCAAAGAATCTATGTTTGAATAATCTTTATTCCTATGGGAGGAGCAAGAATGCTTTACCACCAAGCATGTTTGTAATATTTTCTTATGCCATAAACTCTCTACTTGCAGTTAGTATCTAATCCTAAAGAGTTGCCAGGGCCAGCTTTGGCAAAATGTAAACTTTGAGTTCAACATTTTCTAACTTGTCTGAATAACCTGAATTGGAACCCATAAATATCTTTTGCCTGCAACATTTCAGTTAGCTCTCAGATATAGCTACCAACTAATTCCCCAAGAAAAAATGCTTAGCTTGCTTCTAATTTGTCAAGTGTATAAGTAATGTAATTGAGCACATTCCATTTTAATGCTTTCTAACCCCATACCTCTGTATAGCATGTACTTTGTCTTTTCAGATGTTTTGTTTTGTTAGCAGATGGGTCTTAGATGAAACCTTATAATGGTTAAAATAACAGAGTTTGACAACTTCAGACATCCAGGAAATTACCTGACATAGAACTTCTTAATCTTAACACCTAAAAGCCCCATTCTTTTAATAACTGAATTCCCTGCTGTGAAATCTCTGTGCAAATGTCATACTAAAATAGTCATTCAACTGATATTTAACAATAAAAACAACAGGGAAAAAAAATAAAATGCTAAGCCAAAGAACTGTGATTGTTTTTTCCCTATTAGACTACATTAAAACACCTGAAAGTGCCAACTGTGAAACTATGACATTTAGTATTTATATATCCAGTCTACTTTTCACAAAAGATTTCATGTGACTTACAATTAAAAAAAGAAAAATCACTCTAATACAATGATATTTTAAAAACTGAGGTCTTACTGAATTATCCCAAAGAACACAAATTAACTTTTGAGAAAAAAAAATACCATAAGAAAAAATTTTAAAGCAACCACATTTAGTAATCTAATTAGATAAAAATGACTTAGTACTACAATGCTGAAGTTAAAATACTGGAAGAAAATGAAATTCTCAATTAAAAAATAAATTACATTTGAGTAAAGTTTTCTCATTTTTTTTTTTGGCAGATTTCATCTTTAAGCTATTTCCTGCCTCTACAAATATTGACTACAGGTACCCTTTTTTCAAAGTTAAACATTTAATAAAGCAGTCTTCAAAGAAACAGCAATTTAAAAATCTGTGAAATAAGGTGGTTTACTGTTGTAGAAATCTTTTTATTTATTTATTTACTTATTTATTTTTGTGGTACTGGGGATTGAACCCAGGGGCACTTTACCACTAAGCTACATCCCCAGTCCTTTTTATTTTTATTCTGAGACAGGGTCTCACAAAGTTGCTCAAGGTGGTCTCAAACTTGCCATCCTCCTGCCTCAGCCTCCCAGATAGCTGGGATGACAGGCATGTGCCACAGCACCCATCTTGGAGAAACTTTTTTTTTTTTTTTAAGTATTTATTTTTTAGGTGTAGATGGACACAACACAATGCCTTTATTTTTATGTGGTGCTGAGGATCGAACCCGGGTCCCGCCAGTGCTAAGGGAGTGCTCTACCTCTGAGCCACAATCCCAGTCCCAAGAAAATTTTAATGTTAAATAAATGACTCAGTCAACTATTACTATCCTGTGAGTATTATATCACTTTCTACTACATTTCACAGTAAGCGTTTTTGGTTTTGTTTTTGTGGTTCTGGGGATCAAACCCAGGCTTTGCAGGCAAGCACTTCACCATCAAGCAACATCCCCAGCCCTAAGAGTTATCATTTTGAATGAACTATATGGCAAAGCACTTCTAAATCTACCAAGTTCCTAATTTTTAAAAAATTATTCTCTCTGAAATAATCATTTGCAAACCAAATAAATGACATGCTTACTTTTGTCCAGCCGAGGTCTTGGATTATATCGATACCCAACTTGGCTCCAAAAGACAGGCACCGAGCCTCGTGTTTGAATAAATGACAGGGTATGATTATGAACATGAATTAATTGCTCAGTCTCCACATAATTTGCAACATTTCCATTTTTATCCACTCCTCTTCGTTTATAGCGCATTCCTGAAAGAAAATTAAAACAGAAAATGGCAACATTTTAAAAACTTTAGTTTGAGTAGATGAGGCTTCCTAATTAAATATAAGTCTTCCAGGAAAGCCTCGGGGATCCTACCTACAACTGGCGAGCAGAACAGTATCAATTTACCCCAAATCATAACTGTATGCATTTTGCTTTTAAAAAGTTCAATCTAAACCAGCTCCTCTAAACTGAAAGAGAAAGGCTCCTCCAAAGGCACTAGCACTCAGGAAGAATTTACCACTGGGGTACAGGCTGTCAGTTGGAACACCAATATTTAAAAGCACATCCCAAGTGACTTCCTTCTCTTCTGTATATATAAATCTCCTTTTCTATCTCATTTTGCTAACTCTCCTCTAATTAATCCTCTTCAAAAATTAGTCCCTAATTACATCACTATTTAGAGTCACCAAGCACTTTAAAGCCAACTGTGCTTCCAAATCCATAACCGTCATTAGCATTTCAACACATCTGCAGCTTTTCCATTCTTGTCTGGATCTAATTTGTATGCAATTATAGCCCTCTACTCACCTGCTCTGTGCCTACTCCGCCGTGAAATGAGAGCCACTAGAAATCGTGGGTGAATGTCATCTACACAGGTGGACTCCTGTGGGGGGGTCTCTGGGCTACTTTTCTCATCATCAGATGATTCATTATAATTAACCACAAGTTCTTCAATTTGCACAAAACCTTGGATAATAGGGATAATCCAAAAGTCCACATCTGGCATCTGAAAACAAAATGAACAATGCATTGTTTATATTCTTTATATTCTGTTACTTTCTTAAGGCAAACAAGAGTCAGCATATACATGTCAGCTTATTAGAGGCAGAAACCTTCCATTCTTCACCCATATTTCTGCTTACTGAACACTAAGGGAGGAAGGAAAGAAAAGAGATTTAAATGAATTGTGGTTTCAATTACCAAAAAATGTAAAGAAGGCCTTTCCTTTTCTTTAGTGATCATTTTAAAAGAGCAGAGAGAGAAGGTAAGACAGGAGAGAGTGCATGGGTAGAAATTCAAGCTCCACCACTCTCAAAAGTGCTGAAGAAAATGGCCCACACCATGCCTCAATGACCTCCTGGGATAGGAATAACTAATACTTCATAAGGTTATTGTGAAAGCTAAGTGAATTATATATGTAAAGTGTTTAACACAGCGCCTGCCATAGAGTAAGTATTTCACAAATGTAACTTTTGTGATTATTCCTTTTGGTATACAAAAATAAGGCTTTAAAGTTTTTTTTTGTTTTGTTTTGTTTTTTTACTTATTTTTTAGAGGTAGGGTCTATGTTGTCCAAGTTGATCTCAAACTCCTTGACTCAAATAATCCTGCTACTGCTACCTCAGCATTATGAGCATCTGGGGCTATGGTATGTACCACAATGTTCAGATCCTTAAAAGTTGATTTTCAGCTCACTATCATATTAAGGCTTTAATAAAATGCAATCAACTCTTATTATTGTTTTTTAAAGAGAGGGTGAGAACGAGAGAGAGAGAGAGAGAGAGAGAGAGAGAATTTTTTTTGATATTTATTTTTCAGTTTTCGGCGGACACAACATCTTTGTTTGTATGTGGTGCTGAGAATCAAACCCGGGCCGCACACATGCCAGGCGAGCGAGCTAGCGCTTGAGCCACACCCCCAGCCCTCTTATTGATTATTATGAAACACATAAGTCCACCTTATTTTCTAGTTTAGAAAAACACTTGCTTCACCAAACTAAAATCCAAACAGTAAATGAACAACAACCAAACAAACATTGTACTGCTAGGTATTGAACTCAGGCCTCACACACGCTAGGCAAGCATTCTACTACTAAGCTAAGTCCCAGGTCCTATACATCTTATATTAAAATGTCAACCAACATAATTAGAAGAGTATAGATTAGAGATTTTCCTCCTTTCTTTCAGAATAAGTATATTCAGATTTCTCAATTGACTATATACAGAGAATATAAAAAGCCTCCAGAAAGCTACTCTTAGTTCTACATTCTCTCATCTTCCTAACTGGATGCAGCCTTGATCTCAGCATCAGTTTCAAATCCACCTTTTTCTATAATCAGGTAGTCCAGGTTCCATCTGTTTTGTTTTGTTTAGAGAGCCTTCAGATAGGATTTTAGGAAGGCAGAGTTGAAACAGTGAGGTGACAGATCTACTGCATTCATTATTCTTCATCACCATTTTCACTATTTGTGTTTTTATTCTAGCCACAATTGCAAGGCTCATGACAAGAACAGAGAAATGTGTTTTGCCAAATGTCACCTATATTTCAAGTATCAGTTTTAAGTGGTAATGTAAATCTTTTTGAGAAAACTCAGGAGAATATAATTCAATATTGTCATAATACACAACAAGTTCTCATTATACTTATTGTGCATTCGTTTATTTTTTCTGTCACCAGGTTTTGGTGGTCATAGTTTGATCAGCTTTATAAATAGAGGTGAGAACAATTTCAAACTTCACACCACTAGATAAAGTGAAAATCATTTATTCAAACCACACTTGTGGAAAGAAAAAGAAAGGAGAAAAAATTCTGAAGGTTAAGAAAAAGATAACATATGATCCTATTTAGCTTATTTGCCTGCTTTGTTTAGTATCCAAAACAGTAAGTGGCAATAGCAAGGCTTCAATAAGTATTTGTTGATTGAATGAATGAACTAACTATCTTTGCATGGTCATAATTCTCCAACATAAGTAAAAGGGAAGGAAGAAAGTGATTATCAAGCAAGAAAGAACCTCTGATGAGATGTAATTATCTCATTATATTCTGTGTCTTCTCTGAATCAAACACTGGCAGTATTAGAATGGCCTTAGGGATTTATCTACTCCAATTCCCAGATGAGAAAAAAGAGGGAAAAGGAAGGGAGTGAGTGGTACCATTACAGGAAATGGGGGCTTCAACATTTGACTGGGTACAAACAAAATACTTCTTCATAAGAACTCTTTGGACATTAGTTTCACAGCCTTGTTTTACAACTATCTTGTAGGAACCTAGGCAATGGAACTAAAAACTGCCTTAAAGGAATGCCTTGATTTTTCCTAGCTAACTAACTCCCTTCCATAGGGGAAAACATAGTGAGATTTAAAAATTTATCTTAATGCAATTTAAAAAAATTTGCTAACAACTATAATTTAGGATTATATAACAACTATAACTTTAGAAACTACTCACACCAATCTCAGTAAGATCTCGTATCATATATTTATTCCAGAAAAATCGGTCATCAACCTAGAAAAAAACCAGAGATAATCCAGTTCAAAAACACATTATTTCAGTTTTTTTACAAAAGACGAAAGGGTCAGCAATTGTTCCAGAGGGCAAACCCTGCTTGTATCTGTGAGTTGTACCTTTTGCCAGAGAGGACGGCTGTCCTTCTCCCCAGTGCTCTGTCTCTGCACGGAATTGGTCAGGTCATAAGTCAAGCTATAATAAAAGGATTCTGAATCCATAAACATCTTTAGCAACTCTTCAAGTAATCTTCTCTCCAACTTCTCCTTTTCTTTACTTTCCTTAACCTATAAGAAATTAACCTACTATTACTGCAGGAATTAAATGTGAAGTATTTGAGTAAGGCTGGAAGTGAAGCTGCACGACAGAGAGCTTGCTTACCATGTATAAGGCCCTTAGTTCAAACCCCAGTACTAAACAAACAAACAAAAGTAAAATATATGGGTAATACAAGACTTCCAAGTTAGAATATGAGGAGACACTGCTTCATAGAACAAATAGTTTGAAAATAAATTTACTGGCAGAAATGTTACCCCTCAATTTAAAATTAGTTAAAGATGAATCAAACCCATATAAACTAAACTCTTACTTTCTTTTTATTAGGAGCAGACACATTGGATTTAATATGTGTAAAGGTCTTCAGTAGAAACTTTGAGTCATCAGGAGATGGTATAATCTTCTCTGGTTTGTTAATCCCAAAATGATGCTTCTTACAGAGCTAAATAATTAGGGAGAGAAAGATGATTCATTATTAATTAATAACTGCTTGTTAAATGTGTCTAAAAGTATAGAAGTGAATGCTATTGATCATGCATTTGGGTTAAAAGTTCAAGAGTTAGTGAAACAACCAAGTAGACTAAGTATATAGAAAACAGCTGTTGTTTCAATGATTAAAAAACCACAGTAAAGATTTATATATTTAGGATTTAGAGGCAAAAAATTCAGTTTAGGCCCATAATTACAATAAATTCTTATCTAATATAATTGCAGAATAAAATGTTCTGAGGTTATTAATGCTTTGAAAATTGGCATCTCCTCTGTCACAAGGTTTTAGTGGTCACAGTTTGAGAACAATCTCATACTTCATTCTCAATAGAGGCATGATAGATACCTTATTGAAGACACCAATAGTGAAAATTATTTATTTTGACATGTAGGATAAAGAATAAAAATTTTGCTAATACACATTTGCTATGCTTCAGGGTCATTATTAGAATCTGTCCTAAATATACATTCATGATATTTTGGCTAAGAAGATATCTGGGGTCTGCTCTATTAGGAATCTTAAAAGCTGGACATTTCAACCATTCCCCTTCTTCTATTCTTACAAACCCTAGTGAAATCAGCATAATAACATTTGATATGGGTCCAGAGATTAAATTTAAAGACACAATAGCCAGTGGTGAAATCCCAGCATCTCAGGAGGCTGAGGCAGGAGGATATCAAGTTCAAGGCCCATCTCAGCAACTTAGCAAGATCCTATCTAGAAATAAAAAATAAAATGAGCTGGGGGTATATACCCTTGGGTTCAATCCCCAGTACTACAAAAAAGGAAGGAAGGAAGAAAAACAAGAAGGGAAGAAGGAGTGATAATTAAGGGCTGCAGGAAATGTGTAATATAACAGATAAAGGTTAAGAGGAGGATGGGACCATAAGTGTGACTAGCTGAGAAAAGTGTAGGGTATGGAAAGTTCTAAAATAGGCTACCTGGTTAGAGTCAAGAGCTTTACATATTACTTCACATATCTCAACATATTCTGAAGGGTACACAATTTTATTAAGAATACATAGACCAATTTCATTTCTTCAACACTCTAGTTTTATAGCTAAACTATATGGGAAATTCATATTAAGAATTAAGTTATTAGATGGGGTTGTGGCTCAGTGGTAAAGCACTTGCCTAACACAAATGAGGCACTGGGGTCAATCCTCAGCACCACATAAAAATAAATAAATGAATAAAGATATTGTGCCCATCTATAATTTTAAAAAAATTTTTTAAAAGAACTGTTTATTAAATTCTAATGATTATTATTATTATTAGTGTCTTAACAAATTAACAATTAACAGATGATGAGAACAAAAGCTAGTTTAAATTTTATTATAAAAAGGGAGAGAGCCAGGATCAGTGGCACATGTCTATAAACCCAGTCACTCAGGTAGGCTGAGACAGTAGGATGTCAAGTTTGAGGCCAGTCTGAGCAATTTAGCCAGGCCTTGTCTCAAAATAAAAATGAGAAGAATTGGGGATATAGCTTAGTGGTAGAGCACTTGCTTAGCATGCATAAGACCCTATCAATCCCCAGTACCACAAAAAAGGAAAAGAAAGAAAGAAAAAGGAGAGAGAGACAAAGAAAATATCCTGTTTTATAAAATGTGGGTGTAGAGACTAATAACTGGATCAAGTTTTCAGATACAGTGAAATTTCTAGCTTATTAATGCCTTTTCAAAATCATGGCTATCAAAAATTATTCACATGTGTTCACAACATCACAAGTTTTTTCTTTTTTATATTATAGCATATATGCTCTTAAGTAAATTTGCATTTTATTAATCATAACCACATTGACATTTATCAGAAAGGGAAATCTATTTTTAGAAAAGGAGAAATACTTGCAAGCTGCTTCCGCATTCTGGGAAAGTGCAGAATTCACCTCAAAATTATTCATTCTTCTTCACAACCCTTAGACTGTGAAAGAGAATACTCTAGGCTAGTCTGATGAGGGGGTCAGGCTGAAGAGAAATAAACTGTTTTGCATAATGAAAGATCTTTTTTCCCTTTCCAAATTTTTTATTAGTGCATTATAGTCATACATAATGATAAGATTTTTTGTTACATATTTGTACATGCACATGATATAACAATATAATTTGGCCAATGTCACTCCCCAGCACTTCCCACCTCCCACCCCATGGTCCCTTTCCTACTGATCTCTTTTTGATTTTACATGATTACAACTTTAAGCTGCTCCTACACCACCATTAGAGACAAGGAGACTAAAGATGAGGTAGAAAAGACAGTATAGTCCTGCAAAATCAAGTTAATTTCCCTTCAAGTAAGGAAACTAACAAGACCTTGAGCTGATGAGGAAAGAAAAAAATGAAGCATTCAGACAACTCTCCAGCAATTCTCTCCTCTCTTTCTGTTTATGATCCTCAAACATACTGATGTTTCTTTCCTCTTAACATTTCCCCTTGAGCCTGCTTCCTCGGTTATTGTCCTATTAGTTTGTGCACCTCATCACCTCCAACACACTCCTCTAATTCTTCTTTCCCAACATACTCCAATTTGGCTTTGTCCTATTAATACTCTAAACCACTACCTTCAGCAAGATCTACATTTTGCTGAACTCAATGGTGGATTTTTGGTTCTTGCAACATCTGATGCAATTAATCACTCCTTCACCCTCTTTGATAAACTTCACTTGGCTTCCACTGGTTGCTCCTCCTCTATCCCTTTGACTGGATGCTTTCCAACTACCTGACTCCTTAATGCCTAGACAGGCCAAAGTCCAATCATTGACACGAATCCACCTGCATATTCACTCCCTCAGTGATTTTACTCAGTTTCATGGCTCCAAATACCATCTATCTTATGTCAAAACCTCCCTCCCAAATGCATAATTCCAACCAAGTTCTCTCCCCAAACTCCAGCTTCACATATCCCAACATTCCACTTGGATTTTTACCACATATCTAAAAGTCAACATGTTCAAAACCAGATCCTTAGCTCCCCTCACTGTCTTTATCACCTTGCTATTCTCCACCTTATTAAGCCTCCTTTCTGTTCCTCAACACATCAGGACACTTCCACCTCTGGGCTTTTGTTCTAGCTATTCTCTCCCCTTGGACCTGCTCCTCTCAGAAATCTTATCACAACTTCCACTCCTGGGCACTCCCTCCACCACCCTTACTGTACTCAACTTTTATTTACATTAGCATTATTACTTTCCAACATACTTCATAATATTATGTTGACACTTATCGTCTGCCTCTCCTCCTATAATTTAAGTTCCATAATAAAGGGATCTTTATTTCATTAACTCACATATCTCCAGTGCCTTAACAGCACCAGGCAGCACAGGTTGAAATAAATATTTGTTAAATGAGTGAGTGGGCTATTTGTTAAATGAGTGAGTGGGCTCTGATGCTACAAATAAAAGTAGAACTCTTAGGTTCACAGGGGGCAGATAAGTAGTCCTGGGAAGACCATCATCTCCCTTCCTCATTGTAGTATCACTAGGACAGCCAAGATGCAGTTTCAAAAAGATCAAACTTTTTCTGTTACTTGTCTGTGCTGCTTTGCTTATGGGTCCAAGCAATTTTTATACAGAATGTTAATAATTATCTAGTCATATTAGTAATACTTTTAAAAGTCTGAAAACATACTCAAACCCTAGTTATAAAGGCTGGGGATTTGACTCAGTGATAGAGTGCTTGTCTGGCATGTATAAGGTCCTGGATTCAATCCCCAGTGCTAGCAGTGGAGATTCCTAGTTACAGGTGGTTGCAATTTTTAAAAAAAATTTTTTTTAGTTGTAGATGGACACAATATCTTTATTTTTAATTAATTAGTTTTATTTATTTATGTGGTGCTTAGGATTGAACCCAGTGCCTCACACCTGCCAGGCAAGTGCTCTACCATTGAGCCACAACCCCAGCCCCTAGGTGGTTTCAATTTTAATATTCAAAACAGAACATTGTGCATTTATTAGACATAGTTACTCTTTAAGAACATTTAAGCCAGCAAAAATTTCCCCCAGGAATATATCAGACTGTTCTAAAGATCTAATTGTTTTAAAGCAAGCTTGTGGCAGCACATCTAGTCTGCACCCACACCTTCCTCACTCTCAGAAGGGTGGAGTCCATTTTTCTCAGCAAGGCTGGCTTCTGTGTCTCCTCGAGGACCTCACCTCATCATTCACCCTTCTTTCCTGTCCCAACCTTTCTCTAACAGCCTCCTTCCTTAACATCTATCAACATGTTCTCATGTGCCAGAATCTTTTTTTAAATCCATTTCAGAGCTCTGAATCCATTCTGAGAGTTAGTATAGTCTCCTGTCTCGGGATTGCGAGGACACTAGTCTGACTCTAAATTGCACAGGGAGTGAGTCAACAACCTCCTCAACTCTGAAAAAGAATGAATGTCTGCAGCACTAACAATCTCTTCCTGTTGTCCCATCTTTTGGTTCTCCTGACACCAATCTCTCTGTATTCTCCCCTAGCTCTGGCTGCTCCTGCTCAGACACCTTTGTTGGTATGTGTGTGCTGGTATGTGTTCCCAATGTTCTGTCCTCAGCTCTTTTTTCCTTTTTCATACTCTGTCTAGCAAGTGTCACCTTCTTTTCATGTTTTAAATATCACTGTTTAATGCTACTTTTTCACTCTGAGCTCAAAACCCTTATAATGATATGCTCCTCTCACTGAGGAATTAGATGCTAGTCCTTCAAATTCAGCATCCTTAAACCTGATCAACATCTATTTCCCAGATCTTGTTCCTTCTCTGATATGCCGAAACCATCCACTGGATCACTCATGCAACAGAGCTTGAGTCATCTCCTTCCTAAAGTCTCTGTTATCAACCTCACCACTTCATGCCCATTGCTAACAGATGCTTAATCTTTTGCCCTGGCTAGTGTTTCTTATTGGAAGTAGCAAACAGGAGATTCTTGATGCAGGATTTTCCTACTTAGTGTAGACAATCTAACAGCCGACTTTCATGAGCTGAGGAGCTCCGCTTGTGCTCATGTCTTACAATAGTAAGTACACTTAGCTACAGCTCCAGGCTCCTAGCTCCCATCTCCTATGAAGCTCTATTTGTCCTCTTACCATGCAGAGCCAATTTCCATGTGCTACTGCCTTGCTCTGGATCCAACCCAGAAAGCCTATGGCTTCAGTTTGATCTACCTTTCCATTTATGGTCCACAAAACTCCTCCTTCTCTCCAAGCCCTGCAATGTTGTTTCTGTTTTTATTTCTTTCATCTATTCTCCTCCAAGGCTTGGAAAAGAGTTGATATATGCCCACCATTCTTTAACTTCCTTATCCACAACTCCAAAATCCAAAAAATAACTCTGGAACCTGAAAATTTATTAAAAACTCACCTAACAGGGCTGGGGTTGTCACTCAATGATACAGCACTTGCCTCACATGTGTGAGGCATTGGGTTTGATTCTCAGCACCACATATAAATACATGAATAAAATAAGGTCCATCAGCAACTTAAAACTTTAAACAGCAAAACATGCCCTAAACTGACATGAACATGAGGATACTCATGGTCATCACTTACCCACCTTAGTATGAATATTCCTATGATTCTCTAAGAAATATCAATGTGTTATACTGTAGGATAATGCTCTAGACCCAGTGGTTGTGCGAATACATAGAATAATCTTTTCAAAACACACACACACAAAAAAAAGAAAAGCTGAATTCTAAAATAAATATGGTCCCAAAGGCTTCTGATAAGGACTACAGATCTGTATAACAAAGCAACAATTGAATCACTTTAACCAGAAGTCTTTATCTCTTAAAACTGTTTTTTCTAAGTAGAAATTTATAGTTAATATAAACAAACATTTTCAATGAATACTTTAGAATCTTCTATACAGTTACTTTTAGAAAATAAAGTATAGAGACCACTATCTTCTGAAAAGGTTAAAGTCAGTCCTTTATTTCCCAGGGTCCCTTCCAGTCATAAAATGATTTGTTTAGACATAACCCTTAAAATTACAACGTATAGCACTGGCAACAGATCACCTTCCAGAGGCCTGGCCAGTTCTGTACAGTGTGTGGTTAGGCCCTTATCACAACTTTAATAACACCCAGTCTCAAAAAGGAAATCATTATCACAGGCTTCACATTACTCTCTTAGTTTTTCTATTACTCTAGAAACTCACATTTCACAACCTTGATTAAGAGACATTATTGCTGTTGTTGCTTAAGAAAAATAAATGATTTTACCTTAAAAGTTAGTGGTCTACAGCCATTTGGAAATAAAATTTTCAACAGATGTCTGATGAGAAACTAAATATGTAAAATGATGCATTTTTCTATTAAGGGGCAATAGATAGAGCAAACAGGATATGCAGACATGGAACACAAACTATAAAATTTTAAAAAGATAATTTTTTTTTAAAGAAACAACATGTTATTTCATTCTCCTTTATTTGAGCCCTATAGATTCTTTCTAACCTTAATTTTTTTTTTTTAAATTTTGCTTTGCAAAACAGTCTGGTAGTTCTTTAAAAAGTTAAACAGAGGGCTGGGATTGTGGTTCAGTGGTAGAGCACTTACCTGACATGTGTGAGGCACTGGGTTCAATTCTCAGCACTACATATAAATAAATGAATACAGATCTATCAACAACTTAAAAAATATTTTAAAAAAAAAGTCAAGCAGAGTTACCATATGACCCAGCAATACCCTTCCTAGGTACCTATCCAAGAAAAATGGAAACAAATGTCCACCAAAAACTTGTATGCAAAATCATAGCTGCATTATTCATGATACCTAAATAGTGAAAACATCTCAAATATGTCCATCAACTGATTTTTTACATATTTTTAAAAAGATGTAGTATATTCATACAATGAAATATTATTTGGCAATAAAAGGGAATAAAGTACTGATGTGCTACAACAGGCATGAACCTTGAAAACATTCTGCTGAGTAAAATAAATCAATCACAAAAGGTCACATATTATAGAATTCCATTTACATGAGATGTTCAGAATAGGCAAATTCTTTGATGATGGATAACAATATGTTCTAAAATTGATTGTGGTGATGGTCACATGATTCTGTGCACACTAAATTATATACTTTAAATGGGTGAATTAGAGTTTGTAAATTATTTTTTAAAACTAGCAAATAATCATATACCTTGGGTAAAAAAGGTAACTGAAGCAGAAAACTAGAAATTCTTTTAATACCAGACTCTGAAATAAAATTGTTTCTGCTCCAATTACAGAAGACAGACAAGGCTTTACCAAATCTGAGAAGGCTGCCCACACTAAAGAGCCTCAGGGCACTACTAGAGAGAATGAAAGCAGTAGACTACTCAAAGTGATACACAGGCATCCAAATTAGAAAGACATACTACATTAAGAAGACATAGAACTAGTTTTGTTTAACAAGTCTTTTTTATGCATCAAATATACATGTTCATGACAAATGGGAGGAGTTAAGTAGAAAAAAATATGTAAAAATATAAAATATAAAATTTATTCTGCAAAATTTGAAAATAATATTTGTACTCCCAAAAGCTTGAGGCAAAAGGAAACACTCAATGGAAAATTTACTGGAGTTTTAACTAGAATGTTAAAAAGAATTATTTTTAAGTGGTGGTATTTTTTTTCTTCTCCTTTACGATTTACTGTTTAATCAAATTATTAATACACAAAAAGTGAGGACATTGTAAAAATAATTAAGCTTCTAAAATGGAGTCATACAGAAACTGAAATGGGTAACAAACATTTAAATTAACATGTTAAAAGATTAGTAGGAAATTAGTGATTTTTAACATAGCTAGTTCTTTGTCCTTCTTGCTGTTCACTGTAACAAAGCTCTTTTACCACAAATCAGGATTAAAAGGAGAGAGGAGAAAAGGCATAGGTGCAAATTTCAAAAATTATGATATCTTGAAAGACAGATGTACCAACTACTCATCAAGACAGATTCTGAAAATATTTTATAGTTATTGTTACCATAATTAGCAAAAGTCATTACATAAATCCAATTCCTAATATGAACCAAAATCTTTGGTTAATCTAAGTAACATACTGACAGCTGTTAAAATACTCAATTGCCACATGGGGGAAAACCCATTTCCTTTTTTTTAAAATATTTTTTAATTGTTAATGTATCTTTATTTTTTATTTATTTATATGTGGTGCTGAGGATCGAACCCAATGCCTCACATGTGCTAGGCAAGCACTCTATGAGCCACAGCCCCAGCACCCCAATTTTCATTTTTATGTGAAGATAATCTCTTTCCTTTAGACTATCAAGAAAAGTATGGATATAGAGATCCATACAACTTTGATAATATGCACACTTTTGTGTTTAAAAATTCTATGTAAATATTATTTCCCAACATTCTTCTTTACCCCATTTATACCAGACAGATATTAGTCTCAAAAATGTTACAGATTGGTGGCCATGAGGAATCTGAAAACCTCCCTGAAAAGTCCAAAAAGGGTCCAAGTCCTCTCTAGATGAGGTGTACTCCAGGGCTGGGAGTGCCAAATATGCAAACTAATGACCTTGACAATGAACAAGACTCTTGGTGAGCAGTTCCCTCCTCTAAATCTGACTGCCAGAGACTCCAGGCTTAATATTCAAGCCTAAGTTCTAAAGGGCTTTATTGTCTGTTGCCTTCTGTTCAGGTAACTTGAAGGCAGCTCAGCATAGGGATACAGAACCAGACTACCAGAGTACCAGGTCCAGACCCCACCACGTGCCAGGTGTATGACTTAACCTTTGCCAAGCTTCCTTTCATTATGTGCAACAATGCCTACTATACAGGATGGTTCTAGGACTGATATTATAATCCAAGTAACACACAAAGCTTGCCCAGCACATCACACAGTGAATAAAATATGTCCAAGTGATAACAATTTTTACATGTCAAATTCCCACATCAATAGCAGACATCTATAAATGCTATTGGAGGCAGCACCTTGTGGTGAAAAACCACTTGTCCTATGCATTATTATTATTTTGGCCTTAAGTCACTCTACTTGTGGGCTTGGTTTCTCCCCTGGAAAATGAAAAGACTATACAAGACTATACTACAGCAGTGGTTTTCCTTCTTTAAAAAAACTTCCTTTTAAAACTATAAGAGTAACAAATGCTTAGAAATTTTTTACACAAAA